TAGGGTTTCTTGCCATTTTTTTAGCCTATGTGTAATTAATTTTGGACTTTCAGACTTTGATACACATACAAAGCTGGAAGAGAACGCTTAGTAACTGTAGTAGCACTATGTGTTTTGTGGATCCAGGGAGACTAAGATCAGGTTTCAGAGGGACTTACGTGAACTGAAGATAGAAAGACAACATAGCCATAAACCAAGAATCAGGGTCACTCACCTGACTCCAGGCAAGAAGTCCACCTTGTGTATGAATGCAGAGTAAAGTTTCTTGATCATTGACTATTGCCTGCTTACTGTTGACAAAGATAAAGGTAGTACGGTCTGTGTGTGTGTTCACTCTCAAAAGCACATTGTTGGACAGGTTTCTATTTTTTCAAACACATGAAAACTGGAATGCATCTTCAGCATGTGAAATGGACTTAGCATGAGCTAATGCTCCCTTTATTCTTAACCTTGGATGCAGTCCTGGTGAGAGCATGTGCATACTCTTAGATGCAAATAAGGGCAGATGTTAGGACTTAGACTTGCCCAGAAGAAAGATAATTTGAGCCAGATACATAATTTAAAAAATTTCTAGTAGCTATAGTAGAAAGGAACAGGTGAAATTGATTTTTTTTTTTTTGTACTGGAGATCGTACTCTGGTTCTTCCGCTTGCAAGGCAGGTGGCGGAACCACTGAGCTAAAACCCCGGCCCCTGAAATTAATTTTAATAGACTTTACTTAACCCAATATACCCAAAAAGTAGTGAGATGTTTTTCATTTTTAATTTTGCATTGTTTTTGAAATCAATGTATATTTTTACACTTTTACACTTTTTACAAGTATAAAAAAACCACCTAATCAGTGGTTAGAAATTGGGTATCTTTCCAAAAGATTCAAAAGACATTATATTACAGTGATACATGTTCATAGCAGCACAATTCATAATAGTTAAAACTTGGAAGCAGCCTATATGACTATCAATAGATGAATGGATAAAGAAAATATGTTTATTTGCAGTGGACTACTACTCTTCCATAAAGATAGATATACTTGAGTCATTTGTAGGAAAATGGATGTACCTTGAGACTATAATGTTAAGTGAAATAAATTGACCCAAAAGCTTAAATATCACATGGTTTTTCTTAAATAAGAAATGTAAATAAAAGTCAAAAGCAAAGATAAACTAGGCAGTAAATAGTAAGGAGCTAGGTCTTTTTCAAAGGGGAGGGGACCAAGAGATGGAGCGGACCAAGAGATGGAGCGGGGAAGGAGTGGAGGAAAAGAGGATTTAAAAAGAATTGAGATGTGTTATGTATATGGGCCAACTTCCCACAAGGGATGTAATCTTTCTGTAATGAAAACAGTACTAATGAAAAGAAAAAATGGGATTAAAAATGGGAACAGGAAAAGAAAAAATATACATTGAAGGGGAAAAAGTCCGAGATGTGATGGCCTTTGAAATGATCCTTGTGTTGGATACGAACAGTTTCCATCTCCTCTTATGAGCCCAGCCTATGCCTTGGCCAACTTCACACAAAAATACTTGGTTTATGTTTTAGATTTTGTGATGTTAATTTAAATGTAAACAGCCAGAAATTAAATCTAATAGATTAAAAGTTTACTTGTCTTCTTCATTATTCAACAAATGCAATGTGAAGAACCTAGCTCTTTCTACCCCTTAGGAATGAGGTTAAGTTGTACTATCAGATGTTAAGGTATGGTCTGAGACCAAAGAAGTACTAGCTGAGCCTTCAGCATCCTTCCAGTACTGGTGTTCCTTGGATTAATGTTTGGATGTTATCTTTATTATACTTTATACCTTTTAGAGAAGGAAGTACTTTTGAGCACCTAATGTAAAACATATGCAAGAAGAGAAGTTACAGTGCACATTTTAAGAATAGATAGAAGTTGGGTGTTGCTTTTTAGTTATACCAGCAATCCCATCATAACCCAAGAGGGAGGTGCTATATAGAGATTAGATTACCAAGGAACTCCACATTTATGCTCAGTGGCTTTGCCACCTTGTGTAAATCTTCATTCTTCTCTGAGCCTTAAAATTCTGTCCTCCCCAAGTCAAAGGATTAGTACAAAACTCAGGTGAGGTAATTCACCTAATGTGCTTATAAAATACCAGATCCTTTTTTTATTATATTTGATTCACTGATCCTCTTTTGGGCACCAACTATTTTCTAGATGATTAAATCCAGTAAAGATTTGGAAAATGTGTGTTTGTGTGTGTGTGTGTGTGTGTGTGTGTGTGTGAGAGAGAGAGAGAGAGAGAGAGAGAGAGAGACTTTTGTTTTCATGAAGTGGGACCAGATCTGTCTTGGCATACTATAGCCAAATAATCTCAGTATGAGGTAATTGAGGTCCTCTGCAACCTTGTTTCCCAAAGTTAGTTTTAGAATCAACAGTGCCAACACGACCAAGTAGAAACCCAGAGTCTGCATTTCAGCAAGTTCCCTCATGATACCTCCCTACATTTAGAGCTTGAGATGTATTGCTCCATAATATCTTAACTAATTTAACAGGGGTCTCAAATCCCATAGCTGCTTACCAGGCAGCTTACTTCTTCAGAGATAGCTACTCTGTTTTTGAGCAGCACTCACCTTTAGAAAGCTCCCCCTTCTGTCAGGCCACTCACAGTGCCCAGAGTATGTTTCATTCTTTGGAAAGCCCACATAGCGGGTGCTTGAAAATGTCCATTTCTCCTCTTTGTTACGTGGAAGCCTTGATCAGAGGATAGTGGGTGATGAGTAGAGCCACACATGTCAACTTTCATCCACAGGGCAAAGGTGCACAAGTCCTGAGACACTGTTGAAGAATCATGAAGTGGCCTTTGGTTCTGTCTTTTCCTTCACACTTGCCAGAGTCCAAGGGGGTGGGTTTCAGTGGCCAAAGTTTGGAGGAGATTTGGAGAACCAGAGATTTTATGAAGAATGAGAGTATAGTAGTGATACTTGGAGGGAAATTGATTGTGCAGAACATGCTAAAAGATGAGGATATTTACAGTGGGAAGGAGTAAATGATGTGGTAGAGTGTAAAGAGCAACCAAGCAGCTCCACCTCTCACTATCCATGTGATAGTGAGGAATTCACTAAGCCCCCTTGGAGCATAAACTGTTTTGCTTTTCTCTAGTATTTCTGGGAGACTTGATGATTATGTCAGGGAGCACACTTGATAAGGTGGAAGATGGTTTGAGGATGAAAGAGATGAAGCAGGACAGTAGTGAAAGCCAAGAGACACATCTATACTCAGTTGCTGTATAAGTTCAGAGGAGCCCCTTACTCTCTGTGGGCATCTGTATGAATTGAGTGGGCCCTATACAAACATTTATAAGTTCCCTTCTGGAAGGCCCTGGAGTTGCTGTGGCCCACTGTTGCATGATACCTGGAGGGTTTTCAAATATTTATTAAAAAAGAATTCCTAGAGCTTGGAACTGAATCTTCTTTGAGGGAAATTATTTCAGTCTTTCACTGAAGGTCTGGCCTTTACCATGAGAGCTCTGCTTAAAAGACAGGTCTTCACAACCCAGATTGCCCGTGTTTCCATATCAACATGTGATATCTGCGCTGAGTGACAGTCTTATCTCTGTACTTGTGTCAGAACAGGAGTTCCTGTTTCTGGAAACAAGCTCTGCCAATGAACTCTCTGAACTTCATTCAGACATCATGGAGTATGTCGTATGCAGCTTTTTCCAAGGAAGTGGTCTTGTTTGCTACTTCAAATATTAACCAGGAATGTTCCAGAAGTATTCTTTTTCAGTTTTTATAAGTACCAAATCATGGGAGACCTGATAGTTTTATAGCCCTCCTCTGCTAGAGGCTCCCAGTCAACAAATACGCATACTGGCTTTGGGATAGCAAGCTTTCCCTAAATGCTTCCTAGCTGAGTGAGGGGAACAGCTGTATGTGACTCATGGAGGGGCATGCCTGTTCCAAAAGACATCCCTTTTACGTCTCTTTCCTGCTGATCTGGGGACTGTGTATTGCTTATTGTCACCTCATTGCAGCCATGTTTTCAATTTCCCATTTTATTGCCTAGATGTTTGCTTCTAACTCTGTACTTTTGCATTTTCTCCTCCACATCTACCATGTTGTCATGGAGACTCAGTGGTCGTATGCCACGGGTATCCTGTGTCATCTGAGTGTGATGGTGTGGTATGTGTATTTGTTCACTCTTTTATTTTGAATCCTTTCCAATGTGACATCTGCTAAAATGTCTCCCTTATGATTTGCTTGGTGATCACAGCCTTCTCATCATTCATTGAGAGCAGGACCTGATCTCACAGAATCTGAAAAGAGCTATGTGGTAAGATGCTTGCTGAATAAGACTATGGTCACGTTTCTAAAGAGAATCCTTACTGACTCCAAAGTTTAGAATAATGACTGGTTAACTTGCAGAGCCATTATTTACAAGAGTCTATGGCTATTGTAGTAGAACCAAATGTTAGGTCAATCCTAAAAAAAAAGCGGAGAAATTAAGAAATTATTTTTCCACTCTGCCTATATGTGAGATTAAATTAATGTATTAATGCATGATTGGGGATACATAATTGCATTTTTGTCCTAAGATTATTCTATTTGTAATGGTTGCTGACTAATTACAGACTTTTATACTGCTGCCCCTCTATTTTTTAATATTCATACTAAATCCCAAATTCTTCTGTATCTTACCTGTTTTCCATGCTTACACCTGGATTCCTCCTGCTCCACTACTGGAATATCTATTTTTTTAACCTGGATCTTCAACTCTGTTTTTCCCTGGACTTACGTGCTTCATCTGGAATGTTACATCTCTTCTCTCTGTCTCTCTCTTTTTTTTTTTTTTTGGTCCCCATGTTGACTGTTCTATGGGGGTTTCTGGATATGTTGGGGCCATCTCACAGGAAGCAGTTTGCAATGAGATCATAAACATTGCCGAGAAATCTGTTCATTACTGCAGCACTGTCTCTCATCCCCTTGACTTTCATCACAAGGTTTCCCCTTCTGACAATAAACCATCTTTAATCATTTCTCAGCAACCTCAAGCCCAGCAGCGAAGAATTACTCCAGATAGGAGTCAAACCTCACAAGATTTGTAAGTACACTTGACAAATTTGGTTTTCATATTTTTGATGTACTTTTGGCCTTAGAAAGCAGATCATTAAAAAGAAAGCAGATCATTGGCTGCTTATGGGAACGGACATTTGGAGAAATGAGCAAATCATTCTCTGCTTCTCTGAGGGTTTCTAATAAAAGCCATGTTTCCTGTTAGTCACTGAAAACCATTGGTAGGTAAATATAGGAGGTCATGGAGTACTAGGATCGACTGGTAAAGAATTAATTGACAAGGGCAAATGAGAGCTTTACTAGTGGGGTTCAATGCTAGTGTTCTGGAGAACATAGGGAAGAAACAGTTAATTCTGAGCAGAAATGAATATATAAGTTTGACTCTTTCCTTCATTCAAAAATTTATTGAACATTTCCTATGCTTTATGCGCATAGGAAATTCTGTTCACAGAGGAAGGGGGATTGGAACCAAGCATTGAGAGAAAATTGGATCTTGAGAGCTTATACAGGAGAGAAAAGATCTTTCCAAATGAGACCATATATGCAAAGGCATGGAGTGGGCAGTGTTGGAGAACTCCAAGAAGCCTGTGTGACCACAGTTTATGGTTCACGGAGGAGATAGTTAGAGATGAAGCTCAAAAAGTAGGTTGGGACCAGATGGTAGGTTCCACAATGCAGTTTTGATTTTATTCTACAGCTACAAGGAAGCCACTGAAGATTTTTGAAGTGAGCAACATATTGGTCATATTTTTGTTTTAGCAAGATAACTAACAACAGAATAGAGGTTGGCTTTCAGAGACAGGAGACAAAATCATTGTTTAGAAGATACAAATCCAGTAAAGAAATGATGAGCACTTTAGCTAGGACAGAATGGTCTCTTTGTACCTATGGAAGTATATAAGATTATCCACAGAGATACAGGCTAGCAGGAGGAATGCTCAGTTTCATAGAACAAAGCAGGTGGCATCTGGTGAGTAGTGCCACCTACCTCTGAGAGGCTGAGGTAAGAAATAAGAAATGTCTAGCAGAAGTTCTTCTTGTCAACTAAAAATCAGTGTTGACCTCTGATATAGCAATGTTAATAGAGAGGTGGCAGCAGATGTTCATTAGAAAGGGTTGATGTAAGGTTGCTGCTGAATGGAAGTGGGAGGTATAAACCAAGGAATATTATGGACAGAGCCAAGACTTAAGTACATGTGCACCGGAGGAGAAGGAGTTGGCAGAGTTGAACAATGCAAATGAGAAGATATAGCATTAATTAAATGTTGACATAACAGAAATGAAGTTTTAAAACTCACTATTTAATCTTGTCAGCATTTGAGTCACTTACTTTTCATTTTTCTCATTTGTAGATTTAGCTACCAAGCATTATATAGCTACACACCACAAAATGATGATGAGTTGGAACTCCGAGATGGAGATATCGTTGATGTCATGGAAAAATGTGATGATGGATGGTTTGTTGGTAAGAATATCATCATGCTTTTTTTCCTAGTTGTGTATTGAGGGAAGAAGAACTAGAAGTGGCAAACACATGCAAAACACAATCTTCTGTGCATAGAAAGAAGAGCCTTCTCTGTTTCTATACCACCAAGTCTATAGATATGGTATTGATGTTACTAATGTTAGGGCTAAAAACTAAATATGACAGTGTCTGCTGAATGGAAGGGCAATTATTAAATTAATTATTGTTATTAATTAGATTTTATTCTTAAAGCTTTTATGAAACAATCCAAAATTGTGATGAAGGCTAGGTCCCTCCCATGAAACTCAAGTATATGTGTGGATATTCCAAAGACCTTCTTACCTACTCTAGACTTCTAATAACTTTATTCAAAGGGTAACTTAATTAAAGCAGGGCTAGAGATGTAGCTCAGTGGTAATGTGTTTATTTAGCAGGCACAAGACTCTAGGTTCTACCCCTCCAGCACTGCAAAATAGTAACAAAAAATTCATCTTTGTAGGAAGAAGAGTGCTTGATGTATATGTACAGTGACATTCTTTCAACAAACATCCCTGTAAATCAAGATTTGTGTTCACTTAATAACTCAAAAAGTGAGGGCCAAAAAGATTAAGTAATTATCTTAAGATCACTCAAGTAGCAAATTGTGTGATCAAATTGTGAACTCAGGCTGCCCATCTCTCCCGAAGTCCACTTTCTTCTCAGTTATGAGCATAATGTTAGGAACCACTGATTTCCACTTTGTTTTAATTTTTCCTCTTCCAAAAACCAGCTCATCCTTGATCTCTCTGGAAAAGATTTCCTAAAGCAATGTCAGGGTGCAGTAATGAGAACAGCAAATCCTCAGCATACATGGGAAGACAAAAAGGTCTGTCTTGGCCTTAGCAGGATCTTAGAAGGTGAGCCAGTGTTCCCTGAGCTCCCAAAAGCTTAAGCCCTCACTACCTTGAGCTGTTTTTTCAGAAGAAAGTCAGATCTAAGAAGTCAGCAACCATTCTAGTGCAGTGCAGTGCAATAGAAATACTCGGTAAGCCATGTTGGAAATTTAAAATTTTCTAGAGGCAATGTTGAAAAAAAGGTAACTAGTGAAATTAATTCTAATATATTTTATAAACCTATTGCATTTAATATACCATTTGGTCATGTAATCAATGTAAAGTTATTAGCTTACATTCTTTTCATACCATGCTTTCAGAATCCAGTATATGTTTTCTACTTACAGCCTAGCTCATTGTTGTCATGGAAAGCTCATTTCAGCCTAGCCATATTTCAGTTGCTGTCGCCCCATGTAGCTGTAATATTAGAGAGTTAAGGGGTGGTATGTGTTAGCTGTTAAACTCTTCTGAGAGCATTTCCATTTTTAGGAGTAGGGAGAGGGGCACTATTCTTTAATAGTGGCACCCTACAGCACTGAATATAGAAAATATTTCGGTATGAGTATCTTGCCTGTGTACCTCCATCACTTCAAAAAGTATCTTAGTATTCAAAGTACAATTAAAGTAGCCCAAGAGAACTTACTTTTCTTATCCATAAGAGAAAGTGCTAAATTGGTATTTTCCTTACCTAGAGTGAGCATGTATGAGTTCCTTACCAGCTCTGGGTATTACCATCCCAGTTCTCTGCACCTTCTTGATCATCCTCCTTCAGGATTCAACTAGATGTCTTATGACTTTAGCCTCGACATGTTCTTTTTGCTTGGAAGTTTCACTTTCACAAGGATACAAACCTGTTGGTTATGGCTACCTGAGCAGCTGTATACAGCAGCAAGACTCTAAAGTGAAATCTAAGCCAATTGGGAAAAGGCAGTGATCAAATCATGATGTCTTAAAATGAGAGATTAATGAAAACACAACATAGGTCAGCCCTTATGCTGTGAAGACTCTGGAGGGAAGGGACAAGATTAGGGACCTAATAGCTCTGGGTAAGGAGCAGCCCAAGGAGGGCTTTGTTGCAGAGGGCTCAGTGCTCCTGGCTCACTGGGACCTTAACAAGGTTGGTAACAAAAGCAAGGAACCAGGTTTTGACCCAGGCTTCTGATAGGAATGTCCTTTTGCTGTGTACTCATTGTCAGGGGACTGTTAGAAATCCTACCCTTTAGAAATTCTAAATCCTAGGTATCTTTTTGTGTTGGATAAATGTGAAAAGTCATTCAAAAAGGAGAAATGTTTGATAGAGCAGTGAGTTAGGAGTCAAGAGACCTGGATTCAGATTTTACCTCTGACACTTATTAAATTAAGGGACTTCAGAAGTTGCTTATGCTCTTTGAACCTGGGTTTCTTTTTCTGAAAAATAGGAATATTAAAAATGCCTATCTTGGTTATCACACAGCAAAAATGAGATGGGGGAAGTGTTTTTGAAACCACCACTCTTTTATAAACTGTAGGACTTTTATAAAGGACACTCAGGCAGAAATCTATCTCTACTGTATTGTCCCTGAACTCAGTGAGTGGTTCTTCTCATTTTGTATATGTGTGTGTATGTTTTTTTTTATAGGTACTTCAAGAAGGACCAGGCAGTTTGGCACTTTTCCAGGCAACTATGTAAAACCTTTATATCTATAAGAAGACTGAAAACCTTCGTTTATATTGGAGAATGAAGCAAAATTCATGCACCAGTCTCTTTATTTAAATTAAATATTGAATCAGTAGGATAATTAATGCAGTGGATAAAGTAAGAAGTGAAAAAGAGGAATAGAGAAGTGTTGTATTTAAAAGGTAAGCTTGTATATCAAGGATGAGCCATGTGCTGCTGGGCAAAAACAATTCACGTAAATCGATATTTACTTATATGCTTCTGGCAGCTGCTCCAGCCTTGCCCTCCCCTCCATCTCTTGGGTAATCTGACCTGAGGAAAAGTTCAGGAGTAGAGTTAGGCAGAAATGCTTCCTGCTAACCCAGCCTTAAAAACCCTATATCCAAGGGGTCCTTGAACCTAAAGCAACCTTTGGGTCCCCAGCCATGCCCCAGAGTCACTAAACCTGAGCATCTACTGGCTATCCCATCCTGCATCCCTAGTTATCCTGGAGCAAGCTGATCCCCAAGTGCTGCCAGAGTTCAGTGTAGGCTGCTGCTTAGGCTGTCTTTCATCAGGGGTGGAAGCCCCCAACCTGTCCAAGTTCAAATCTATCCCCTAACCACCTGAGGTCCAGGGGAGGAAGTAGAGGCAAATTAGGAGCCCTGTACATAGTGTCTGTTATGCAGCATTGCCAGTGATGGCCATGATGTTCAGACAGAAAAGCACACAAGATTCATCCTGAGAATTGAGGAACAGATGGCCAGGCAGAAATCTTACATTCTTATTTCCACATGATCATGTCAGGAAGCCCTGCAGCTCTGGAGGCCACTTGCAATGTGTTTCTTTATCATTGGCTTTTATAAACAGTCAACTTCAGGGCAGTGCAGCTGCATTTATCAGAGCTCTTTTGCTAATCTTTCATTTCTGACTCATGTTAGCTGGAACAGTTTGGGATTGGTAGGCCTATTCTCATAGGAAATCCAGAGCAGTGTGTAGGTGTGTAATGATTCATTTAAAATGCATCAGTGTGTGTTGGCTTCTGGGACACCCATGAGTAAGTCACACTCACACCTAGAAGGACTCCATGTCTCCAGTTTTATTCCCTAGAAGAGTTCAAGGGCCATTCAGAATGTAGATCTCAAAGCTGTGAATCCTAAGGCACCTGGCCAGGCATCCCCTCAGGGCAGAGTGCAGAAACAGCTCTTCTGCCACTGCTGGCAGCCACCAGGAGGTCTGTTTTTGGTAGATGCTGGATCAGAAGAGGGAGCCCTTGTGACACCCACAGTGCTTAGTCACAACTGTGTCCAAGTTGTGATGAGGATGTTTATTGGCTTCTCTGTTAGACCCCTTAGTGACACAAAGATAGAAGTGAAACATTCCCTGCCTGCCAGGAACTCAGAGGTGACTGGGGAGACACACACAGAAAAGGATCTTAAGACAGACTGTGTTAAGTGCTAGGAAGGTTCGAGAGGAAGAGATAAGTTTCTCCTGGAGGGATCCTAGAAAGCATCATCATATTTCTCTCTCCATCAGCTCAGTTTTGAACAACTAGGATGATGGGAGAACCTTTGTCCTGGTTAGTTTGTGGCTGGAAATACTTGGAAGTTTTTCCAGAGCCTTCATATTCTCATCATCCCCACAAATGTACATACATCCTAGGTCACAAATAGGAGTAGCAATTCTCTGTCATATGTGTGTGTACTGGAAATCCTGAATCTTTGTATATATCTAAGAATTACCCCAGAACCAGTTTCCCAAAGTCTGGAGTCTTTATAAGTAGGCAAAATTTGTCTTCAGTGCCCCAGCTCAGCTGCTGTCCCAGATGCCCATCTGAGGATCCCACCACTGGCTACCAGTCAGCTGCCATACCCCACCTTCTTATCCTTCTTTCAAGAAGGCTCTCAGGAAGAAACTAAAATGTAAATGACTCAAAAGGGGAATGTGTTACCTCTTCCCAGAGATATTTGTTTTTAAGTAGGATGGAGCAGAGCCTTAATCCCAAGGGAAAAGACTGTGGAATTTGGGGAAGGGGATTTCTGGGTAGAAAGAGCCTTCATGATTTTCTTTTAAGTCTCAGTGACTGTAAGACATACTGCCTTGGAAGGTCTGCTCCACCATTCGAACACTGTTGTTTTACTTTCTTTCTTTCTGAGGGAATGCATATGCACGTGCATCTTGCACGGCAGCATTACACCCATTTTGGAATGTAATCCTTGTATTGGCTAATGTGTTTTCTGCTCTTTCTTAGATGCAAATCATTAATAATGTGATCTAATATAATAATCTTTTGAGAGGTGTTTCTTGATTAAGTAGGTAATTTTGAACACCTCTTTAAATACAGCTAGAAAATAAAACCAATTTGTAAAGCCACATTTGCATATAACACCAACCTCACATCTTTGTATATCTCCCAAAATCCAGGTATGCCTCACCAATTTGCCCATCTTTAATAAAATAATATGTTAAAATGCATTACTTTCGCTTCCTATGTATGCCAAAACAAGGAACAAATATTTGCAATTCCTCTTTTGTCTTCAGACATTTAGTAATATAAAGTACCTATTTTTATGCTGAAATATTTCTACAGGTTTATTACAGCCAGTGCAGCTAACTGACTCATGCCTTGCAACACATTTTGATATATTAGCCATGCTTCCAGGCAAAGGCAAGCCCAAACTACTTACCTTTTAAGTCTCTCTGGGATCAGTAAAAGAAAAAAAAATCATGTGCTTGAGAAGTGGGATTGTAAATATGTATATTTAACTTTGTATAGCCCATGTACCTACCTTGTATAAAAAATAATTTTAAAAATTTGAATGAAAGGGTGGTTAAATAAGGAAGTCATAAAGTTTTTTGCCTTTTTATTTAAATGAAAAAAGTCCAAATAACTCACCTGCAGACTTTTAGCACAAAAATAGCCATCATACACTGTTAAAATTTACAACAATTTATTCTCTTGGGAAGAGAAAGTATAATCTCATTTATAATTTTTAAAAATTTCATTTCATCGATGGATTTTTTGCAATCCTATTTATCTTCAGTTGTATTGACTTCTATTGCTAGAATAAGTTACTACAAAAGATCATTTTCTGAAAGAAAAGCAATTGACATATATAACCAGTTAATTTAAAAGTGTTCCATTTAAATTATACACTGAGAGCATGTACTATGCCGACACAGATTTTTTTTGTTCATTTATTTTTCTTTCTTGCAGTGGATTTGATAGATGTGTTGAATTACTACCTTTGTTGTACATATTATTTAATAAACTTTATTCAGAATTGCATGACATGTTTGTTCTTGCAATTCGTTGGTTCTTTTCTTCCCTTGACCAGTTTCCCAAATGAGGCTTGTACTCACTGTTTCAATTTCCCATACTATCACCATTTTTAGCCTTGGTACTGGGGCAAAAAATTCAGTGCTTTCACACTGAATTTCAGCCCCAGGCCCATTGTCTTTTTTTTTGCTTAAATTCTTTGATTGGCACATTTTAGGTATATAATATATTTACATTTATCATTGGGTGCTTGTACCTGTACATGATGTGTCTTGGTTCTTATTTTTTCCCCATTCCCTATACTCCCTTCATTATCTTTTTATTAATTTTTTATTTTAAAACAGGGTCTTGCTAAGTCATTAAGTATCGTAGGCTGGGGTTGAACTTGTAATCCTGTCCCAGCCTCCCAGAGTGCTGAGATTATAGATATGTGCCACCATGCCCAATTTTGAATCACTTCCCATATGTCTTCCATACCTGTTTGAAGATACCACTTCTTTACTGTCAGTAACCTAACTCATGACACTCTCTAAATTGGTTAGTTTCTAAAATATATTATTTGTTCTGATGACAAAAAATAATGCACGTATGTCTTTCAAAGCAAAGATGAAATAAGATATATACAATGTCTTCATTTTCTCCTTGAAACATAGAAATACAGCACTTAGTTTTCTTTTTTTTTTTTTCTGAGTTGTACTGTTTATTCTGCTGCTTGAAATCTAAGTGACAGTATGCCACTATAGTTATGCGGTTTCATCTAAACCTTTACTACACTGCAGGTACAGAAATATATGGACACATTTCTGGAGAATTGCCATTTTGCAAAATGCAGCAAACATTTTCATTTATACATGAGAAAAGGAAGTGTTCAAAAGGGTATGCATTACAAGTTATTGCAGGTTGTGAGAGGATTTCTGCAGGTAAAACATGTTTAAGTTTAACCAACAGAAACGTGTCAGTATGTTTAAAATCATGACAAAATCTCTCTGGTCATGTTCTCCATGACAAATTACTATGATGTTGTATGTTTAGTGTAAGATGTCAATACAGCATAAATCCTGTGGTATTTTGGTTTTCTTCTGGAGATTAAAGCTGTTTTTCTTGGGAAAAATGCTGCAGCAAAACACAAACCAGTTGATCAAAAAAGCACTTCTGCCATAACTGCACTCATTTTCAGGGCACATCAACTGACAGTAATTTTGCCATTCCCAGTTCTTTAAGGTTTTTTGTGTTTTTTTTGGTATTAAATTCTTTTATTGGTACATTGTAGGTATACAACACAATTACATTTCTCATTGGGAATTGTACCTTTATATAATGCATCTT